TTTCTCCTGTAGAGCTGATGGAGGGTTCTAATCACTGATCTTTTGGTTAGCAGTGGAATGATTTAACCAATGTTCCACAAGAGTTCCTCTTCTGTAAATCTCTGATTAGAAAGGCTATATTAAGTAATTCACTGTTCTACAAGTCTAGATCTTGAAATGTTCTTTTTGGTGATAAAAGTGACATCATTCTTCTTTAATATATAATTCCCAGCATAGTGGACCATATGATTATCTGATTCAAAATGATTGATATTGGTCCAATTAATCTCACTAATGCCTAGGATATTGACCTTAATAATTATATTTTATTTTTGAATATTTTCAATTTTCCTTGATTCATTCTTCATACATTCTTCCTTCTGATACTAATGGATGTTTGAAGCTATTTTTTGTTTTGTTTTGTTTTGTTTTGTTTTGAGACAGGCAACATCAACAAAAGATCTAAAAAATGTTACTCCATTGACATTGACCTCACTAAGGTCAACTCTACTTTGAGGAGGCAGCTCTGCGCCAGTCATATTTTGGTGCCTTTTAACATAAGGGGCTCATCTTCCAAAATTATATTATACAGTGTTTTGCTGTTATATATAGGGTATTCATTGGCTCCATTTCTTTCTTTCTTTTAAATATAACACCAAGCCATTTTCCTATTTTCCTAGTCTATCTTAGTCTAGAAGCTCTGCTAAAACCTGTAAACCATGGATGACCCTGTTAGTATTTGAAATACCAATGGCATAGCTTACAGCATCAAAACAATAAAAAAGCCACCACAGTACAAGAAATTGTCAGACAAGCATTGGTCAACTTTTATAGTGCTAGTCATTGCTACTACTTCTCAGCACTCATTGAATCAAGTTGCTTTATAATCTTGGTTACTCCTTCTTGTCTTAGTGACACTAAAGAGTGGTATAGTTTAACTTGGGAACAACTGTCCTGGTAGCAAAAGGAAGCACTGGCTAAACTTCAAAGAGGTGCAAGGGTCTTTGCAATCCTTGCCAATGGCTCTAAATTTTGCTCAGCAAACTCTCTGGGATTTCTGTTATTTATAAACCTGAGCCTGCCTCTGGATTGTTCTTGATATCTGAGTCTGTAAATGCAATTTTTGCTAGGCACATTTCTTATAAGTTTCACTGGGACCTTAAAATAAACATACCTGAAATTAATCTCAGTTTTTCATTTTTCCTTTACAAACCTCCCTCTCATCTGTCTTTTAGCATGATCATCACCATACTCTTTACTCAGCTGTTTCACTCACATCCAAAAAAACACTAAGACTTGATTTTCCATTACAAATATCTCTGGAATCTGTCTCTTCTTCTCTGAACTCTCCTTGTCCTAATTTAATTGTTCAACATCTCTTGGCACCCATTGAATCCAGTTGATTTACCGACCTGTTTCTCTCTCATTTTTATGACTCTTTTACAAAGGAGTAGAATAATTTAATTTGGGAACAATTGCACTGTTAGCAAAAAGAAACAACGGCTAAAAGTCATACAGCTGGAGGGATCTATTCAATCCTTGCTACCGGATTACATGAAATTCTTATAGACTTGATCACCTCATATGCTTCCATCATATGCACTAAGAATGATCTGCCTTTGATCCAAATAATACATTTCAATTATGTTAACCACTTAGAGTTCCAATTCCTATCTCCTTAATATAATGTGCAATACCCTCCTTGATCTAAATTATTTGTAGCTTTTGTTTTTACTATACCCATCAGATATTTTTCTGTACCATTCTTAACAACATATATTTTTCTATACATAGTTCCAGTGGTATTTTACAGCTGCCTGGAATACTTCTTTTCTTTAGTGAGGAACATGAGAGTTAAAGGTGACAAAAGTGAATACAATTACATAAACAATTCTACAGTATAGTAATAATAATAATTTAGGAATGGATGCATAGATAGACACTGAAGCTGAACAGGGGTGGAAAGGTGAATAGAATTACAACCACAAATATATATGTTTTGACAGAAGCTTCTCCACCTATATATTTACGTGTGCTGAAAATATATTCATGAATGTATTATAGAGAGAACAAAGTTATAAAATGTCTTTGTCATAATAAAACACCCTGAGGGAATGAGTCATGAGGTATGGAAGCTCAAGCTCATAGTCTTGGGGGACACTGAGGTCAATTGACATAACATAGTCTACAAAGACAGTATTCAACATCCTCCTTTGGTGAGTAGCAACTGGGATCTTAAAAGCTTATGAGAGGCCATCTAAGGTGCAACTTTTGGTTTCAGAGCAAAGAAGAGTGAAGAAAATCAAAAGCATGTGGAACAAATTAGTCCTAAGGAGTAATGGAGTACATGGCCCTAGCCACAATGACTCTGAGACCACAGGAACTTGATGACACACAGCCACCACTGCTTACTGCTCTGAAAGGATCACAATAAGAAGTACCAGATAGGGTGGGGGAAAATGTGGAACAAAACTCCAAATCATAAAAATGACCAAGCCTACTGGTCTGGTGTAGACTGGTAGAAACCTGAAGATTATGGTACTTAGACACCATTAAAACTAGCAACTGAACTTAACCCCATTGACCCAAATGACAGCTAAACAATAGACAGAACTTTAAGGTGAGCAATAATATCTGGAGGGGATGTACTCAGTACAGCCATCAAGCATGGGAGATCAGTAGGACCCCAGGGATAAAGCTAGGAAGTTGGAAGGCAATGGGAAGGAAGAACAAAGGGCAGAGGGGCATGGGAAAGAAGAGGGAAGAATGCTGTTACAGTGTAAGGACTGCAGTAAAAGTCACAAAGCAAAATATGCATGGATTGTTGAATGCAAAGCCAATTTGCTCTGTAAACGTTCACACAAATTACAGTAATAGTAACAATAGAAACAACACAACTTCTGTCCCTCTCCTCTTACTCTTCTCCTGTGACTACTACATAGCCTTCACATGTCAACCAAACATCTTCTTCAGGAAGGCTTACCTGAACCATTAGGTTTGGCTGGATGTCTCCTTCTTGTGGTCCAGCAAGATCTTCTCCATCCCTTTATAAGACAATGGAATCTTCTTTTTATATAGGTTGCCCCAGCTGCCAACGACAGGCATCACACTTTCCTTATTTTTATTTTTTATGTCCCAGTCCTAGTACAGTGTCTTGTGGATAACGTGTACTGAACAAATATTTAAAGAATTGAACAGTTTAACACAGTCATTTGACATTGGCAATTCTTCCAGAAAGATTGTATTCAGTGACGAGATTCAGTAGCAATTTCCTCCTTACAGTGAGCACATACCCTGCTGAATAAACGTGCTGCAGGACATGTGATAGGATCTTTTCTTATTCAGACAATGAAATATATATATAACAGTGAGAATTAAGCTCATGATAGCCTTGTGCTTCCTGATATTTGAAGGTGCCTTAACTTCATTTTTAATTTTGTTTGCATTCACATGAGACATTGAAATTGTAGGCATCAATGCATTGTCATCCCTCAAATCAGCAGCAGAGATATCATCAAAAGGCAAATTAACAGCACAGTTCATATCCTGATGCTACAAAACTGGGCATCTCTAGTTCAGGAATCTGATACCATCAAATATTAATGAATTTAAAAGTCATATATCTCAACTGTAAAGGCAACATGATTTTGATCTAGCACTAAAATGGTATGCCATGGTTTCACTTTAAAAGAACTAGCTTGTCTAAATAATAACTTGCTATCTTGAGATACATGCATTTACTAAATTTTCATGATAAACAAGCTGATCACTTACTTTGGGATTTAGAGGGAATGGCTACAATGATGTCATATTCTTTTAACCACCATTTATAATGATTTTTCTTTGCCTCTCAGGCTGAAAATGGTGATAACTAAATCATGTGCTGTGTCTTATGGTTAGCAAAGCCCTTTCACATAAAATGTTGTAGTTAAGATTGATAAGAACATATGATGATATTTACGTAGAGAAGATTGACTAACTGGTTCAAGTATCAGTTCTAAAACTTTCTAGCTATGTGAACCTTGACAAAACATTTAATGTCTCTATGAATCAGTGATAATTTAAAAATTAAATTATTAATTTCCTTTTGGAAATTAACAATACTCATTTTTAGGTCTTTCATGGAGATATAATAACTTTATAAGCATTTAGAACAATGGCTGCTACATAGTACACTTTCAAAATGTTAGTTATCATTATTATTATTATTATTATGGAATCTATATTATTGAAAACAAATTTTAAGTATTTTAACTCTTCTGTCTACTGTTCTTTATAGATTTAAGTAAATGCAATTTTTCTTATGTTTCTCATTTTCTTGGATTCTCTAATCCAGCTGCTTCACATGAGAAAGGCAACATCCAGTATTATCAAGTATGTTGGCCAATAAAGAAGATTGAGATATATATTATTATTAGCCAAGGTCATTTTTTTTTTTAAGAAAATTTTTCTGACATATAGCATAATAAAACAATAGTCCAACAATGGTATTTTATATGTGTTTAAGTAGAGATATTTCTAGACAATTACCAGGTTGTCAGTTGAAAAATATCCCCTTTTTTTCAATAATGTGTTTTCTTTGTCCATAGAGATACACACATTCCACTTCTGTCCTGGCCTAAGTTTTTTTGTAGCTGCTTCCAGATTTCTCACACCCTGACTGCCACCAGTTCTTCCTACAACCCCCTTTAATGACTCTTTTGCTGTTTGAGAAAAGTTTTAATATTCAGCAGGTTAAGGAAACCCATCGTCAGCTTTAAAATTTCAGTCTCTGCTGAGCTTTCAAGGTGTCAAGACCCTAAAATAATATGAACAGCAGGAGTACTAAATCTTTCATTATTTCCACTTTCCCCTTGAGCATACTGACTTTGTAATAAAGAAGCTGTCAGTTACACTCTTCTTTATTGCAAGGTAGGTAATAGCTAAGGGAGAAAAATAAGGAACTGTGTCAAGTGAGCGTGACTGCCACTATGATTAACACGTAATCATTGCAAATTTGCATCTACTCTTTTCATATACAGGTACCTCATAGATTGGAAGAGTGATGGGGACAGCTACTTTACAATAGATGGAACTGACGGAACCATTGCCACTAATGAATTACTAGACAGAGAAAGCACTGCGCAGTATAATTTCTCCATAATTGCGAGTAAAGTTAGTAAGTATGGCGTGGATGGAATCAATGTTACACTGCGGTTCTCTGGATTTAACATGCTAAAAATAATCCCTACTGAGCTGTTTTTCATTTTGCGGCTGACAGCTGAGTGGTCTCCTGGGGAAACTCAGAAACCTGTTCCACTTCCTCATAGCATTAGTCCAGAAAAATTGTGACAGCTGTCAATGAGTCCTGTTTGCAGAATTGCAGAACTATCTAGAAGCTCATTTCATTCTGAGATTCTGTGACCTCCTTTCTTTCTACAATGGACCCTCAACAGTTCCATTGTATTAAGATTCTCTCCCCAACAGGATTGCTGAATGTATCATCGGGAGGTTCATAGGCCAAGCAGAAGGAAATAATTATCATATAAAATCTCCCATTCTAAAATGTTACCTTAAATTGAAGAGAGAATTTTCTAAAAAATCAATCCTCTTCACCCTCTCTTTTTTTCATTAGATTATATTTTAAAAAATAACTTTGCATTTCCACAGCAGGTTGGTTACCATTTGACAATTTCAGTACACGTTTCTGTGACCTTGGTTACTTTTTTCACAGAGTAATGACATTCTGTTTAAGTGCTCTCTGCTTGTTCCATTTCCAGTGTTCTAAATTTCCTGGCCCCATTATATTCTTATCTATGCTTTAGAATGATTGTTGAACTTTTGGTCTCATATTGTTGTTGTTACGTGCCGTTGAGTCAGCCCCGACTCATAGTGACCCCTCCTTGGGTTTCCGAGGCAGTATCACTACGGAAGTAGGATTGCCCAACCTTCCTTCCGAGGAGTGGTCTCATATGGAATTTTTTTTTTTTTTTACTGGAGCACAGTATTCAGTGATGCTATTCTTTATTTTGTGCACTGATGTGTTATTTCCCTAAAAGGTGACCTCAGGGGAAAGTTTTGGTTCAAGGTTTAAACAAGATCTATGGGCAATAGTTTCAGGGAGTACTCTAGTCTAGCCTGGTTCAGTAAGTCTTGACTTTTTACAAATTTGATTTCTGTCAAACTTTTCTCCCATTCCATCTGGGCCCTTCTATTGTGGTCCTGTTCATAGAATGTATTGTTTAAATGAATATCATTTTGTAATAAGGAGGATATTAAAGTATTTCCTCCAGGGCCTTGTACAGATTCTATCAGACTGTTAAAAAAATATTCCCTGTTGCCTTCTGCTTGATCCAGCAGAGAATCTTCTAAAGGGAGTTCATGTCTTTTGTTGGACAACCAAAGATATTAAGCATAGCTTTCTGAAATAATGAATTAGGGTAGAGGTGGGACATTTCGAGATAGGAAGAGTTGTTTTTGAAAATGTGCATCTTACTTTTCCTTCAGCTTATGGAATTTTGAAAAGTCTGGGGAAGTCCCTTCTGAGTATCTCTTATTTACATATCCTTGTTATTTCCTTGTGTACATCTGGTGCAAATGTATAACCATTTGACAGCTAATTTTACCTTTTAATGCAGGGAACAGTTAACTGTGACCATTTCTGTTGAGAGTTTATTAAGCAGTCTCAACTCAGCGGGGTGGACATATGTAACAGTTTTGTTTGTCTTCCACAATTGCTTCCAAACAGTAGTCATGCACTATGTTTTTTTTTTTTTTTTAATTTTCCTGCTCCTCAATGGTATCTCAAACTGGTTTCACAACTTTCAAGTCATTCTGATTATAATAGTTACTCTAACATAAAACACCACACAGGTTCTACCTTTCTCACTGGAACACTTACGCTAAGAGCTCTGATCTGTCACCTAAGAAACCTGACTACCCAAGACTACCATACTGGAGAACCCACAGGGCTCTGGTTGACAGACATCTGAGCTCAGCTTTACAATGATCCCTGACTGTGGACCAGATATGTGAGTGAAACTATCTCAGAATATCTAGTCCAGTCCATTAACTGTAACCTTCACTAATGCCATTTGAATTGGAAAATTCGCCAAACCAAGCCTTGCCTGGATTCTCATTCACAAAATCGTAAGATTTACTAAAACAGTAATTATTTTAAGCTAGATCTTGTTGTTGCATTTTTTACATGAAAAATAGATGAATTTAATACATGAGAATGAATGAAACGACAGCCTAAACTGGAACACTGTTTGGTGAAGTGAATGAAGGAAATGGTGAATGAGATTGTGTCTCTGCATCTAAAATAAATCTTCCCCCTACAAACATACTCACATAAACACACACACACACACACACACATACACACACATACTCTTTTCAAGAATTAGATCCTCCAGAATGTTGAAGGGGAAAGGAAGAAAGGAAATAAAAAAGTATAAATCTCTCCTAGCTTAACCTATATAACGCTCCATTGATTACCACTGTTTCTGGGATTAAAAAATATTGGTAGGAAAGTCAAGTGCCCAAATATTAACCCTCTTCTTCTATGATTATGTGAGTCTTGTGCCATGTTCTTGGGGGTTTTGGCCCATCACCAGCCTGGGAACCTGATGTAGTCACTCAATAGTACACTTTGTTTTTGTTATTTTTGTTGTTAGGTGCCAGCAAGTCAGTCCAGACTCACAGCAACCCTACATAGAACAGAATGACGTGACGTCCTCACAATCACTGCTGTGTTTGAGCTCATTGTAGCAGCCATGGTATCAGTGCACCTCATGGAGGGTTTCCCTCTTTTCCACTGAACCTCTGCTTTACCTTCTTGAGGGACTGATGCCTCCTGATAACATGTCCAAAGTACATGAGATGAAGTGTCTCCATCCTTGATTCTAAGCATTCTGGCTGTACTTTTTCTAAGACAGATTTATTCATTGTTCTGTTAGTCCATGCTACATTCAATATTCATCAACAAAATAATTTGGAAACATCAATTCTTCTTTACTCTTACCTATTCATTGTCGAGCTTTCACATGCTATGAAGCTATTGAAAATGCCATGACTTGGGTCAGATGCACCTTAAATCCAGGGGCCCTTTACCCAGAAGATTGCTTTCTGGGGTGGGTGAATA